AAAAAAAAAAAAAATAAAAAAAAATAAAATAACGGCCAAAAATCGACCAACAATCGCACCAAAAAAAACACACACACATACAAAACATTGACCAACAACCAACTAAACCGAATGTCTGATCGATTGTATTTCGATTTATCTAATTCACTTCCATCTTTGGCGATGTTAAGACGCCTCTTTCGCGTTCAGGATCGGGAACCCTCCCTGTAATGGAGATCTCGGCCGTTTGCCATCCAGATTTCTCCGACGAAATTAAACCTTCATGGCATGAACAACTTGACATAATTTGACAACAGGTCGCAACAAATCAGCAAATCCTGGGGGGTCCTCGCTCGAAAAATAAAATCAGACTAGAGGGTCCAAAAGGCTCTAGGAGACAAGACTTCCGCAGGCTCTTAGGAGCTAGCTTTCGTGACATGCCTGCTGGCAACCGTATCCGCTGCAATGCCTTGATGCGACTCAACCAGCTCGCCGCATCGAATTCCTCGCCAGCAGGATGCCTCGGGGACCCTGCCCGACAACTCAAGCGCTTAGACCTTAAGTTGTTTTTATGTTAATCTCCCTCCTTCACCCGAATCGAAGGTACTGAGTTGCTATGTTGCAGCTGACCTTTTGACTTCCAGACTGGCAATTCACGAAGATACTTGAACACCCACGTTGGAAAACCCGGTGCTGCTGCACCGCTAGTCAGAAATTTCAAGTTTGCTGCTAGCAGATGGCCCACTGGACGCAAAACATGCTGCTTTGGCCACGCAGCTTTAGAGTCGTCCTGGCGCGGGTCACGGCGCGTTTTTGCCCATGTCTCAGGGTCTCGCTTGTAGCGGTCCTCCCATTTGGTTTCAGCTTGGGATTGAGAACTGACTGCAATGTGCGAGTGGAACGGGGGTTCCAGCCATCAGAGGTTGGAGAAGGCTACCATGTGTTTGGAGGCAATTGCCCAAAAGATTTGCCTACTCTTACTTACAAGCTTCTTTTCCGGCGGATTCCCGCCAGGCCATGCAGAAGCTACATTTCCCGAGAGGCATTGACAATTGTCTTGGACAGCTTGGCCATGCAGTTCAGCCGTTCCCTGACCAAAATTTCACGTTTGCAAAGCCCAAGTCAGAATAGTAACTTCCTGGGTCGTGCGAGCATCAAAACTGCACGTCTTTGGGCAGGACAAGTCCTCTTCCTCCATGAGCGTGAGAAAAACACGTGCCACCTTCGCTGCAGGAGAGCCCTACGAGTCGTGCTTAACTTATTATTCTATTGTGACAGGCTCTAGCCAGTTCTACTCTCTATACTGGTGCTTCCACAGCCCTTCTATCAGCAGGTGCGCAATCACCGCTGCAGCACTTGCATCTTTTGAAGCTACCTGCTATTCTTTGAACAGCTGCCGAGTCACTCTGTTTCGGAGCTCACGTGCTGGTGGCATTGTGGATGCGTAGCCCTCAAAAATCACATCGTAGAAGTCCTAGCAAGCATCAGCGCAGCAAAGGCTGAGCAGTTCGTGTGGGAACACTGCCTCAACCCATCACCCCTATGTGGTTGAGTGTCACATCCGAGTCAAACACCCCAACACCAATCCATCTGCCTGCCTGGTTAGCCACTCTCAAACAACGAAGAACCCTCTGTCATTCCGACCTTTGCCAGGCCTCAGACGTACCTTCTGGAATGTTGCTTGTACCTCACCTAGCCGCACTCTTCAGAAGTCGTTTCGCCTGACCCAGACAGCCTGAGCTTGCTTTGCTGAACCCAGGTACTGAGACCGGGAGGTCTTCCTGGAACCTCATACCTTCGGCTCAACTATTGAGGCTAATGGCTTGGTTCGTGCTTCTGCACTCCTACAGCTATCGTCTTGAAACTCCTCGTGGATGGGTGGTGTGCTTTCGGGTCCTTCTGATCCTCCCGAGGCCCTGAAGCTGTGAAAGCCTGGCGGTTCGGTGACCTGGCAACACGGCAAGCTTTGGGCTGCGGCCAAGAGTTGTCTCAACAAACTTGCACGGCAGGCCTTGGCAAATCATCCTCCTCCTTCGCCATCAGAATTCTAATTGTGTTGCATGCTGCTTTACCTCTGGTGCCGATTTACTGCCCGGCCAGATCAGAAATGAACAGTCAGCGCAGCATTTAGGAGAGGGCTGTGAGAAATGCTTTCAAACCCTTTCCGCTTCGTGCCCACGTCCTTCGCCCGAGCAAAGAGCACGATGCGTAGGAAGTGGCTGGTGCTGCGCTTTCCGGATGGCACTGCGCAGGCCCGTTCCAGGCACTGGCCTTAGTTACTTCTGGTATTCTTCAGGAATCCTTTTGCCACGGACATACCAGACCCTCGCAGGAGTCCTGAGGCTGCTGCCAAAGCATTCCAGCAACACCTCCCAGTAGTACCGCCCGAAAAGACCGAAGGAAAACCTTCAGGGTTTGTGGAATTCACCACATGCCTTCTGCTGGGGACACTCCACTTGACTGCGCAGACGCACTATTCAGTTTAGTTGTCTCGGTTTCAAAGTCAGGCAATATGGGACGGTTGCCAGATTTTGTGCAACACACCGTTGTGCGTGCTTTGACGTGCTGCTGCTAGGTCTTTTCCTGTCCGACCTTTCTCGAATCTGGACTTGCAAGCTACAGGTGCGGATGGTTCTCTCGAGCGCTGCCCTCACAATGAGTGCAGCTGAGGCACAGCTCGGAACTCACTTCGATGAGTAAAAACATGTGCGTGCTGGATGACCTTGCCACATGTCCGATGACATCAAAACCCACGCTGCGTGCTTTCTGAACTGAGATCTATAAGGCCACCACCTGAAAGCAACGTCCGTCTTCACACCAACCATGCCGCAAGCAACAGGCTTTCCATCTTTGAAGGAGACGAGCCTTTCCTCAATCAAATCCACGAAGGCAAGACATGGCAAAACATGGCAATACTCAGGCTTGCTATGCCTGCTATGCGTCTTCGTTTTGCGCAGCCTACACAGAGTCCCGCTCGCCTTTGCCAGCCATGGTTCAATGCTGCTGGAAGGGACGTGCTCGCAGAAATTCCGCCGGAAGCCGCGATAAATCAAGCGGCCCCTATGCTGCATCATTGCCAGCTGAAGCTGCCACAGGTCGCCTGAATCTTGCATCACAGAGTAGTGATCTCTGATTCCAGGAGCATATTTTGGCGAAGGTTGGATTGCATGGGTCCATGCCAGGCAATCCTATGAGCTCAGTTTCGCAGCCGGTGACAGGCGGTGGGGCATGGCATCCTGCATCATCCTGAAACCGGTTTAGGTTTGCAACAGCGTTCAAGTCACGCTTCGACATGTATGTGTCGCCGATCACCATGACCATCTCCTTCAGTGCCGCATCCTTGCAGTTGATTGCTAGAAGAAAGTCGCGAAGGATGATGTGCTGAGGCCCAGGACAAAATCCATCGTTCTCAGAATGAGGTGACAAAATCAGCATGGACTTTCCGGGTCCTTCTCCTCCGCCTCGGACAGAGTAGCCCTCTTCTCTGGATCTCCCATGAGGCCGGCCTCAGGCACGAAAAACTTCCCTGATGCGCAGAAGGTCAGCAGAAGCGGCTCTACCTAAATTCAGGGACGATTTCGTGACTGCATGTCTAGGATCAGAACCGCTGAATGCTTCCGCTTGCAACATGAAGCAACAAAAGAGACGTGGGTAAAGACTGTAATCCTGCAGACCAGGGGTCGGAATTGACAATCGACTTTGCGATCGAAATGGTGCCAGTCTTGAGGTCGTCTGAGAAACTCTCGGCATGAGCGCGAGCAAAAAACCTGTGCTCCAGCCATTTCGGGGGAGTGTCCATGCAAACTTATGCCGAAAGCTGGACAAGAAGCACACCTGCAACATGCTTGCTGAGGCTCGGAAAGTCTTGTCTGTCGGGCCTGTCGGAGAACTTGATCCGAACCAATCTCGGTTGCGGCTGGGGGCATTGAACTGTGTTGAGGAGGGTTGAGGGGGCTGCGTGTGATCGGATACGTGGGCATAGCAGGAGGGCTGGATCCTAACCCTGGCTATGTCGTTCCAGGCTTGGCAGAGGAAGGCTGAGCCTGCACTGCAAAAGCCCAATTCCCCTTACAACTCCTCGAAAAATACGTTCTCTGATGATCTCCCTTCACTACTCACAACCATCGCAAGTCCAGCCAGCCCTAAGCCCTGGCAGAGCAGCTGAGAAATCCCCTTCTGCGCATGTGACTGAACCTTCGCAAATCAAGACGAAGCACGCCCCCTCTGAAAAGTGGTTCTTCAGAGAACTGGGCAGCAGGACGGGCCGGGCGTCCTTGAACGCCCGAAATCGAGGCTCTTGCACAGGAAGTGGTTCCACCCAGCTATGAGGACTTCGGGTTTGGTCAGGTCTCTGCAGTGCAATCACGGCGTGCTGCTGGCCGCTACTGCTTTTGCTGAAGCTGGCTGAAAGCTTGTCTCACTTGATGCAACTCGCGTCTTAGCTTCGGCCGGGTCCTCTTCATGCCAGGTCCAAACAACTTCCCGGAATGCAGTGTCTTTGCCTTGCTGCTTCCGTGCCTGGGCAAAGCTCCGCGTTCGTTCGCATGTCTGAAGGCTCTCTCCACGCTGTTCCACAGCAAGCACGGCAAGGTGCAGCTTCAAATCTTGCCACAACGGAGCCCCCAAACCTTCGCGGCACAGGCATCGGACCTCAACTCTGGGGATCATGGAGGACTTTTCTGTGCCAAGCTTTATAAGTAGGGTCGAGGCCGCAGCAATTCGCCTCTATGTGGGCAGTGCGATCCCTTCCTTGCCCATGGCTCCAAAAGCTTTCTGCATGGGGACGAGAAAACCTAGAAGGGTTCCAATACGTTCCAAGATTCTGACAGATGCCTGGGTGGGAGGCTACAGAGTCTTGGGCTTGGCTGGGTGGGGTAGAGGTCAGGCAAGCCCAAGGTGCTCTTGCAAGGCGCAGATGCGTGGCAGAAGGGTGTGGTTGATGTTGGCCATACTTCGCTTGCTACCCATATGTCCAAAACGTCCTACAAGTTACCATGTTCTACCTCCTCCCTTACATGGTGTGAGGCCGCTAGTGGCATCGTTTAGAGCCCAGCTAATGCTGCTCAGGACAACGAACTTCACCGGCCAAACAGTTCACGTCGAGCCAGGTGCTGGCAAACCCTTCAGAAACCCGCTGCACATTTTTCCCATCAGCACGACGAGCTCTGCGTCGTCTGAGCTCTCGCCTTGTCGACGCTTCTCTTTCAAGGCCTCGAGCAGAAGGCCCCAATGCGCCTGAGCAGCACTGGCCCAAGACAGGAGTTCGTAAAGCTCGAAGAATTCAACTCCAAGCTCAGAGGATTGGAAGTGCGAGAAAGCGCTGCCCTCCGGCTCGCCTGCACCAAGGTTCCCAGGTCTGACCGGTCCTTCAGGCCCTGGAGGCACTCTTGGACAATCAGGACGAAGGCCATGGCATGCGACCTCCCCAGTGCTCGGAACGAATGGCTAATGCGAACAGCGGTACTCGGCCAAAAATCATTGACTTCGAAGTTGCCTTGATGACTGTACAAGCATCTACCAGCTCGAGCTTGATCACCCCAGGGCTGATGATAGCACAGTGATTGAGCTACGGGGCCAAGAGAAACAAGCAGATGAAATTACATTTGGCTCAGTCCATGAACGGACCTTCGCTCAGGAACTCGTTGCTACACTACTCATGCCTCCGGAGGTTGCTCCCTTGTCACAATTCTTCGGAGAACAACAGCTGTGAGGTAGTCTTTAATTCACTGCAACCCATGCATGCTCCCACCTGACTAGGGCGTGCACCGCCGGATCTCGTGCGAGGTGGTTGACCAACTTAGCAAACGCCTCAATAAGCCACGCCAAGCTCATGCTCCCGGAGGATTTTTTCCATCTTGTGTTTCATGGCAACTAAGACGAGGTGAGGATGGCAACGCCAAAGGCTGCCGAGACACTAAGCGGGCCTGACATGCCAAAGGGTCCTCTGTGGCGGCGCGCAGCTCGGCTGCACTTTGGCCCTGGTCAAGTGGCTTTGTGGGCGATTTGAAGCACCTCTGTGTTTTGGGTTCTGGATGGTTCTGGTGATCCCCTCATTGCGCGGGCTATCCAAGGGGGTATGCCGCTAAACTGTACAGAGGTCATGCAGTTCAGGCTACAGACTTGCTGTGCAGATCTCCGTGTCAACACAAGGTTCTAAAATTCCAAAAAGTCTAAGGTTGCCCCAGATTGCCACAAGGGCGATCGAAGGATTCTTCAAGCTTGCCCAGTGCCCCACAGCGACATTATTGAGCTGCACGCCTAGCATCACCATGCCCTGAAAAAAGTCATCACCGTGAAGCACTGCTTGCTCCCAAATTGACACTTCGTGTTGCGGCTTCTTGTAGCTGTACTCTGGTGTATTCTTTGTAGTCAACCTTTTTTTACCATCAGGCCTTCGGCTGTGCAGGACAAGTACGGCCCAACTCTTGGGCAATGTGGGCATTCAATCGTGCCTCCTCCAAACGGAAGTCATGTCGCAGGGGCCAAAGCAGGCCATCCGGCACCTGATCACATGTTCACACTCCAAATCTACCTCATTGCTACCAACAACTCTTCTGGGTTCATAAGCCATTTATATAGGTTGCCCCTTTTGCTGCCTTGTCCAACTCCTTCGCAGGTCCCATGTCAAAGCCACTCGGCATGCCTCAAAAATGTCGGCTTCTGGCTTGCATAGTCCGTCGAAGGCTTTGAAGGCTTGAGGCTTTGAGCTGAGCGAGGCGCGAACAAGCACCCAAAAGGAATGACCAACCTCAATGCTTTAGAAACCTGCGTCGACACTTGCATGAAGTGGAGCTGCCAAACGCCAGTGCCGACAGCAGCTCCAGCGTACTGTGAGGCCTGCAGGCTGTAACTTGAAGACAACTTGCCAGTCTTGGTGTAAAGCAGGGCATCCCAAATTCACACATAATCTCCATCAGTTCAGGGTCCATGAAGGATGCCTGGGCTCCACGGCGGTCTCGCGCTGTCCCTCATGGCGCGCTAGAACGCTTGGGTCAAGCAATCGGCCCAGGATGCTCTCGCAAGCCTTAGAAACTTGATTGTCTACTGTCACTGTGAGGCCACATCAAAGCGCCTGAGGTCAATGTGACATCAACCTTCCTGCTGGGAACCCCAATCAACACCTCATGTACACCAGACGAAGTGGTCCTGACTTCATTAGGCTCTTCTTAGCCCACATGACAGGACAAGCACAGGATGGGCGGACAAGCAAAGCCAAGCACCTGCCCGTGGAGCTCCAATACACTTGTTCGCACCACGCCGTACTCGCCCTCCCGCCTTCCACAGCTCAGCTATCTACAGGTGTACAACGCCCTCTAGGTCCCTAGGCATTGCAAATTCAGACCTAACTGTAGCGCAGAACACGAAACAAAAGAATCAAACCTCTAAAGCGCGAAAACTGCGAAGATGCCTGACAAGCAGGCGGTCGCTTTCCGGGCCATCAAGGCGAAAGACGGGGCCAACCAACATGTTCAAGACGACAGCCTCAGAATGCTGGAGGGACCTGGGTGGGCTTTCTCTGCGAGCTGCTGAGCCACATGCACACCACCTGGAAATAAAAGAAGAGGTTCGGATTATTTAGGCATACGCAAGCTATGTAGAGCAGCATCCGCAAGGCTTGCATCTCCTTGAGTGATCCAAGCCACGACGTAACGCAGAGCTGCGTCTGCTTCCACGCGCTGAACGCCACTACGCCGGGCGTCCACCAAGGCACCCCCAATGTAAGCGCCCGCAGCCAGCACGGCACGGGCACAAATCCTGGCAACAAAATGGACGCGCGATCACGTGTGCAACCATCCTGTGGAATTCGGATCTTGAAGGTTGCAGTCGGGCCCGGGAATCACCGGAGACTTCCTCGCACCCTCTTGCTCCGTCTTTGAACTCCGACTCCCTGTACACATAAAATCTAGTTGTTGAAAAACAAAGCCTAGACGCACCCCTCAGATGGACGGAGCTGGAGATTTTTTACATGGTCGAATCTGCAGCTTAGAGGCTCCAAGGTGTTCAACACCCGCTGGCTGTACAGATTGCCTCAGGCCGCCCTTACCGCTCTTAGTAGTTGTGCATCTTGTTCTCCTTCAGTAGACTCTGCTTTTCTCTCTTGTTTCTCTCCCTCTCCCTCGTCCTCTCCCTCTCCAGCACGCAGCGGACCTGCTAGGCTGCTCTCGGCTACAAGCACAGCAGCTTTGTTTGAACGTGGCCAAACTGCGGACCAGATGCAATCCACGTGTGAACTTTGCACATGTTCTAGCAGCGTTTTGCGACGCTGCAGCGCCCAAAGGATTTTGTCAACACCTGCAGGCTGGAAAGATGTCTGCTCCCGACTCGTCCACCACTCTCATTTGATGCCGGCAATTTCTAGCTGTCATTGCGGAGTTGCTTCTCTGGTCCGTGGTGCTTCCAGCTTCCCCTCTACACTTAGCGTAGTACACATATGACCACACATCATAGATGCCAATTAATGTCAGCACACTTCCGTTCGGACATGTCTGCATGTTGCCTTGGATCAAACGATTTCTTGTGGTGCCCCTGCTGCCCTTTTCCACGACCTGTCGTCGCGGCCTGTTGTTACGTACCTATGAGCTCAGCCAAGCGGCCCATGCGCTCGACGGAAGCCAAACGCTGCTGCACACGGGGGTCCAGGCCACCTCACCAACTTTCACTTGTTTCTTTAGGTTTCACGGAAGTGTGATCTCAAAGTAGATTCAGTCATTCCTTACCATCTGGTCGTGTTGACGGCATGGCTTCCATGCTTCTGTGCAAGAGCTTCGGCTTCTTGAGTAGAGGAACTGGTCTGAATTCGATGCTATTGCACAGGCAAGGTCGGCACTTGGGGCTGGCTGCCTTCCTTTGACAGGTGGATACAACAATCGGGGTGTGTCCACCCTTATTTTGATGTTTCGCGCGATTGCAAACCAGGTGTTGCTGCATTCACATGGTACTTGGCAGTAATGTTCCCCTTTTTCCCCTGCGCTTTCAGGCTATGACGCTGGCCGCCGCACCCCCCACAAAATACCGGAAGCATTCCTGCGTGTTTGAGCGAGTTTAGGGTCATGCCATCTTTGGCTTTACACAGATCGCACGTAGGCCATTTTCTTTTCGAGGTACGCCCTCAACCCAAAGCCTTTAACGCTAAAACAATTGCACCAAGAAGGCAAATACCCCAGCCCACTGTCCTGACAGGAGTTCCCCATGCTTGGATGCTGCCTGTATGTCTGTGGGAGCTGGAAGCTAAGCCGAACAAGACTAACCGATCTGATGCCATGTGAAAAGGCATGGGAAGCAAGGCTAGAAACGCATTTCTACTTACCGCTCTCTCCGACGTTCGGCATTATCAAGGTGCGAATATTGGGGATTGTACTGTAGGGAGGTTATATACTTTGATAGGCGTTAGGAATCATGACTCAAGATGACCGCTAGTCATCGCTAATCTTTTTGCTTTTTCCTTCGAAGCTCTTGGTGGAGCACGAGCACGTCCGGCTGACAGGAAATCTAGACAACTTGAATTTGCCAAGGCTGCATGCTGAAGGGTTCCGATTGCGCAACTAATTATCTGAAACTTTGCGATATCTAGGCAGAATTCTGCTTTGCACAAACCAAACTGATCCCAAATCCTGGCTTGCTTGTTGTACAGTCTGGTTGCTGTCTGGCATGCCTGCATGCCAGCCGATGCGGACGCGCGCTAGCATTCATCTTAACCAGCGATGCATGCAAACGCATTCAAAGATGCTACTAACGTATGATATCATAGGCTTTGCTTCCAGGTTGGCAGTTGAGTTTAAAGCCCCAACCCTGAACACCTTGCGCCGTCTCGCGCCTACGTCATCATCAGAGGCGAAGAGTGGGTTCCGAGGCTCCGCTGACAACTCCTCATGACATCTCAGCTCAGCACAACTTCGCGTGAAAATGCATCAAATGCGTTGAATCCGTCAGCGCCGGTCGGCTAAAAACCTGGAGCCTGAAGAAACCTACAGCATGTAAGTGGACCTCCTCAACCGACTGGCCATTTGCCAGCAGCTCCAGCTTGGAATGACGCTGTCCCCGAACTTCGGTATCCAGAGGCGTGTAACCGTAGCTGATTGCCTCGGGCATGCTCCGGCAACGATGAGGTAGCAACGGCTTGCGAGTGCTGCTTCAGGTTTCTCAAGTGTAAGGTGCAGGCATATTTATCATATCGCCCGGGTCCGCCGAGGAAGTGCCCCCCAAACACAGGCTTTGACGGATCGGATGTGTCTAGATCATCCGGGTAGTCCATAACCTTGGTGTCAACTGCTGCCGGCAAGAAGATACAGGCAACCCTTTTGGAATTGAATGCCGGCTAGTTGGGTGTTGGACAGCGCTATCATATAAGTTTTCGAAACCTACGGTAAGAACAGGAAATCCTGAGAAAGGCTGCCCTAGGCAAAACTGACAGGGCTGTCATCAGGATGCTGAAGAGTGCCCATCCTCCGCCGCGATGAAGTTGTGTCGCAGGCCCAGGGTGTGTCCTACCTCGTGCACGACAGTCTCCAACCTGGATCAGATATGCAGCTTGGCACTGCGTTTGCGGTCGCTTATGGGGTTCCCGTACTTCATACCAGACAAACCGTGTTGGGATTAGACATGATTTCCAACAATGACCCAGCGACAGATACTTCATCACATCAGGGTCATCTGCATCTAGCAGCTGTTGCTGGCAGCAGGTGCTGTCCGGCGATTTGAACAAAGACTCCGAGAAATCGGATGGAATTTTTACGTGCGACTTCAAGCCGAGGACAACGCTTGCCATTAGGATCTCACCGCTACGATAATCAAAGGCGCTTGGCCCATAACCCAGCAAGCCCTTGGTGGAGGGATTCGTCATGAAAATGGAGATATGCCGACCATCGCCTGGCTGGTACTCTTCTGGGTAGTCGCTATCATCCGGCGCAACACAGTGAAGCACCGCGCGGCCCAACACAAACTCGAACGCTGCATTCCATGCATGGACGCCCGTTTTGATCGTCTCATGGTACCTAGCTCAGGTATGCTAGTCTTTAAGAACTGTGCTTTTATTCGGCCTGCGGCCCACGAGAGCCATATTGTTTTCAAGCAAGCTTACCTGAGTGGTGAAGTAAAGTTTCCCAGGCTCATTTGAAGCTGCTGGTGTAAAGCCTCACGCCCAAACTGCGGGGATGTAGGTAGCAATGTATTGGCGCACAGGCACATGCCCACAATTCGAGTTTGCAGGGACATTATTAGAGGGGTGTCAGCCTGCATTTGGGGTCGCTCTTTGTTCAACAGCATCACCATTTTGAATTTTGAATCCGTTGCAGAAAAAAGGTGAATTGAAACCCAAGCTAGGCCCAGGTACAGCTTTGGGACCGCACGGTCAATGACGTACTTCAGCTGCTGGTGCCTCGTTAGATCCCACCTGGAAATTACGTGCTGGACCGTCGTCGCCTGCCGAGGCCCACCTACGAGGATGGCATTCGTGAAATATCCCACACGAGGGTCAGAGGGCCGTGGCACCATGGGCACTTCTGGCAATGCTGAGAATGCCACCTTGCATGCTTATAGAGATGGACTAAACTCTCTGTGGGCGCTCACCATTGCTTCTACGCAACAGTTGCAACATGAAACGGGATGCAGTCTGCTGCTTGGGGCGCTGTATAGTAGACAGTCAGCGATCCTTTCGCAGATTTCACCGGCACATTGGAGGGCTGCTGTGTCGAGCAGCGCACCAAGAAATTCGAGGAATAACCCTTCATTTCCTCAGATTCACACGCGGCATGCGCCACGTTGCAACGTTCCGGCCGATGTTCAACGAATCAAGGGTCAGAAGCCAGGAAGCTAGGATCTGTGTGTGCGCCTCGTCTCCCTTGAAATACTCGGAGAAGCGCTTGAGCCAGTCCGTCAGGTCTAGCAGGAACTCCTGCAAAGAAGTCTGGGCTCCGTGAATACATGCATTTCATCAAGGGGTCCTCCATCCCATTCTGTGCCACGGGCTCAAGTTTCGCGATATGGCCGGGCCGCATGCTGCATCCCCCGCCGCTGGCGTTCCAGTACATGCTGCCTCCAACATGATCATGTGCTGCATGCAATGGTGCCGCAATTGGAACTTGCTGGCCTTCTAGATCCTCTTGGCTCAGTCTGTCCTGCGCCTGCAATTGCACGAGCGTCAAGCTAGATGCTGCCGTAAGATTGACCACCGCATGGCTTCTGCCGCAAAGGTTACATGAGCAATCATATCAATCATCAAAAGCATGGGTAACGAGGCCCAGCGTCCTGGAAAAAGAACCCTGATGGCTGAGTCACTAGCTCACTAGTTGTTCAGAACCAAGCTTAACCAGGCAATGCGGCCTCGATGAGCAGCACATCACGACCACTTGGAGCGATGCTGAAGCAAAGCCCCATGTTCTTGGGATGCTGGTCAAACCTCCCAAAGTGCAAAAACCTATTTTCAGCCAGTACTCTAACTGGCGTCGCAGCAAAGGCTCTTTCCTCCAAGTATGTTTTGGGACCGCCAATTGCAAACCAAAGCTTCTCGAGAACAAAATCATGCATCTATCGGCTTGCGGCTTGCAAAAGCCGCCGGAAGAAGAATGGGGACAGTGCAGATATCATACAAGCTTCACTAGGCGAGCATGAATGATTGTTCATTGCCTGGCAAACTTCACTACTCGGACGTACTTAAAGACCTTGCTGTAGGCCGATTAAGAACCAACACCTCAAAACCTATTGAATGCCCTCGGGAGCACATTTCGGGATAGGATCCCTCCACGCCGTCCAAGGTCAAGATCGGAATGAAGAGACGACCAAGCTCGGAGGCTTGCACTTGCAAACAGAGTCGCTCGCAGCCTGCTTCAAAAACAGCCAACATGTTCGTCCCCTAAAGAAAGATACGGCCTTTCTCAGGCAGGCCTTTCCAAGATCGGCGTCCTCCCCGCTCTTCCTTGAGCAAATACACCCTGTGGAAGCTGCTCGCATCCTAAGGTTGCGGGAGCATATGCATGTATATCACGTGCGACAGATAGGGAAAGGATCGAAATGAGGCACTGCTTGCTTAGGCTCACTATAGCGGTGTTTTCGGAGGAACTCTTCGATGGACGGCCGAGAGCTCACAACACTCTTCGACTTGTCCAGCAATGAAAGTTCAAGCTCTGCAGCAGAAACCAAGTCCTGCAGCGAATGGGAAGCTCAGGCAGCATGTCGTGAATCATCCTACAACTGTCAAATTCATTGCGGTTGGTTCCGCTTTTCAGCAGGGACAGCGGCACCAAGAAAGGCGGAAGCTCAGGTTGCATTTCGCACGTGTCACCACACGTATTTACGCGATACACAAATACAGAAGCCCACACACAAACGTTGCTGCCTCCAAATCAAGCTCAAGCAGCCCTAGCTCTCCAGCCACACATTCCCAACCTCGCGCCTCCCGCATCACCTGCCGCTGATCTCCTTGACGGAGCACTGCTGCCGCTGCCGCACGGAAGGCTGCCGAGGAGATGGCGTCTGCGTTGAGGTCGAAGCGCCCTCCCAGCTCCTTTACGGGCCCCTTTCTTGATTGCATGCTCCAGCAGCCCTCTGCACACAACGTTTTTGCTGCCCTCGCTACAAGTACTATCGATTCTCACTCGTGCGGTACTCGCGTAGCCCGACAGACCCGAATCCTCGAAATCCACCTCCCCTGAAAGTGGTACACGCGGTGGCAGCGCTGAGCGCCACAGCGCAACACGCTGCTCTGCACTGGGATGGTCAAAGACGACCAAGAACCTGGATGCCACAACATCGCAAAGCCAAGCCACCATTACTCCAAAAAGACCTCTGCAGGATCTGAGCACTGACGCGCCCAGTTCCAGACAGACCAACCCGAGCACCCAAACTGCACGCACAAGCCGGAGCGTGCTGCGGCAAAGCCACTTGACCAGGCGGGCAAATTCCTGAAGTCTCAGCGCACGAATGTGGACGAGTTCAATCAGGCCCTGCCTGCGGCAGGAGCTGCAAGCGGAACACATCATCGGAGGTCACCAGCAGCAGCACCACACCGGAGAAGCGCTCGATGTGGAACGCTAGCTGCTGAAAAGTCGTGTCCAGTCCACTGTCTGCATCATCAAGGAAGTTCTCCTTTGCTGCAAGACATGGAACTTTGGCTTGTCCACAGACTTTAAAGTGCACAGAAGCTGCAGCCTCCCAAGTCTCTTTTCGACGCAGTTCGCTCTTCAAAATGAAGCTTAGCTAAGTTCTTATCATGCGGTCAGTTTCAGTGGACCGCATAACGTAAACATATTTCCACAAACAAGTCTACTGCCGGATTGATTGCCAGGAATGCTGTCAGGTTTGCGGGAAAACCCAGTGGCGCAGTGCACTTAGGCAAGCTCCTCAGAAATCTTGTCCAAAGGATGTGTTATGTAATTTATGTACGCTGGCATGGAGGCCCCATACTGGACGACGAAAACAACATAACATGCAACTCATTGGGTCCTCCATCTTCGGGGTTGCACAGGACGTGTCATTCCTACATCACGCTTTTTCTGTTCTCCTTTATCATCTGTACATGTACATCTCTTCAGATGTTCTCCTCTTTCGTGGCGTTCTTGCAATCGCTCGTATGGTGTTTGGCTGCGCGCGCTGGAATTTTCGTGCTGTCAGGATTGATGCTTGAGCCCCCCATTTGGTATCTCGAGGCACTATGTTTTCTTTGCATCTGCTTCTCTTTCCTTGATCAATCTTCATCAGGTCCTTCAATACCATTTTTCTTCCCTGCAGCCTCTGCGAGTTTCTATGGCATGGAGATCAACGTTTTCGAGGAGCGACAGCAGAAACTGCTATCCATGGCCAACCTCAAGAAGGCAGACTCTGGCAATCGCTGTTCACTTGTATCACTCGCATCTCAGTCTGTAATCATGGCTCAAGTTAGCAGTCAGCCGTCCAGGTAGGGTGCTTGTACTCTTGCATGTGAGCTCTGCGCAGACCTTCCTCTACAGCCTCTGCGCTCAAATAGGTGCTGTTTGCCATCATACATATTTGCAGCAGTTGCGGTCAGCCAAACTTCTTACTTGAGGCATCGGACCTGTATTTATGAGCGATCTCGTACATCTTCAGAGGGGCTTGCTTTTGCCGACGGGCGTCCTGATGCCAGGCATGCCTCAGGCACCTCTGCATCCTCCTCTTGTGAGTCTGGATGCAACTGAGTTGTGGTTACGTTGTCTCTGTGGCCTTGGAGGTAAACGCCTGCTTCGCTCTTCGCTCACCAAAACCCCCGCTCCACTCACCAAAACCCCTGCTTGACTCACCAAAACCGATTCGCTCACCAAAAACCTCTGCTTCGTCCACCAAAAAAACTGTTGGCTACCCACCAAGACCAGACCCGACCCAGAACCCAGGTTGCTGCCAAGCCCTCCATCCCACAAAAACCATTTCACCCGACCCGACCTCTTGGGCTCAAGATGAAAGCAGGATTCGCACCCATGAACAGCCAATTATTACGGGAACCCTCAACCCCCAACTTTAAACCTTAGACTTAGACCTTAAACCCTAGACCCAAAACCTTTCACCTGACCCGGCATCTTTTTCCTCTGACCACCCGACCTGACCCGACCTGACTTCAGACGCCACATTCCTTACAATTAGGATATGGCACCACGTGGGCTTAACTCTAACCCTAACACCTACATGGCTAAAACCTAAACCCTAGACTCAATAGGGTTTCAGGGCTCATGGCTGAAGATGAGGGCACAACCTATAATAGGGGGGCATATCAAGGGCTCTATATAGTTCAGTTATGATTGGAGAAAAGTGCCACTGCCGAGGATCTGACAGGAGTCACTCCTAAGGAATGACGTGCGGGATTTTTGCTATGGCCATGCACGCTCGCTCCGCGTGCGCTTAGGCGCCAGCACGAAAGAGGGTCTCACAGCTAGTGGTCAGGCTTGAGGTTTGGGAAAAACCGTTTGGAGTAAACCTCCACCCAATACGGAAACTGCCCCTTCTACGACCCTTTAGTAGGATTCCATCCTTATGATTAGGGCCCAAGACGACGGCATGTATCGGCTGGTTCTATCCTGGCAAAAGACGTTAACAAACATCTTATACTGGGCCTCAAACAGGAATTGAGAGGGAAGTTTGGGCAACCAGCTTCTTGAGTGGTAAGAAGCTTTAACAGTAAAACCCACTACTCTCCTGAGGAACCTGTAGTATTGTCCGTCGATTCTCTTGAGCATGGGAAAAATTAGCATAAGGGCGTCAAGACCATAGATTAACGAGGGCAGGTATGTGGGCTGAAAGATTTTGGCCTTGGCCTTGATGGGGATACAGGAATTCCAAACTAATCTAAGTCTTTTGAAGGCTTCCTCGTGTAAAGGCCATGTCAAAGGGTTCGTCCCAGGCTATCAAGCTACCTAGGTATTTGGCTTGAAGTGTGGTCTGAACAGGAGTACCATCTGAGAATCTCACTGTGATAGGTCTCGGCTGGGGTTGATGAGGAGTTCTGTTTTGGTTTGATTAAGAGACATTCCATATGCCGCAGCCACGGTCTCCAATGCTTGCAGCAAACCTTTCAACCGTTCGGGGTCTAGGGCTTTAGGGATTTGGGGTTTAGGGTGTATGGATTTAAGGTTTAGGGGGTTAGGCCGTGGTAGCGGTGGTGGTGGCGGTGGTAGTTATGTTGGTGGTGCCGGTGCCGGTGCCGGTGCCGGTGCCGGTGCCGGTGGGGTGGATTTTGGTGAGCCGTTCGGTCGTTTTGGTGGGTGAGGCGTGGTTGTTGAAGCGGGGTTGGTGGGTGAAACGTGGTGGGTGAAGCTTGGTTGTTGAAGCGCGGGTAGTTGTTGAAGCGGGTTTACTCTGGCCTTGGACACCGCGGCTGTGTTCCTCTAGGACCACGGGCCAAGTGCTCATGATCTCTTGCATTGAGCTGTCTGCAAGCATCCGGAATGTCTCCAAAGGACATCTTGTGCAAACTGCATGCGTGTCCTCTGACATGGCCGTCGCCGACCAGTAGGCATGAGCCGGTAAGCACTGCAAATTAAGCGAAAGGTTGGAACTCAGCCTCTGAACTATTGTGCAATCAGGGTACCCGTCTAGAAAGCAGGAGGTAGATGCAGCAGGACTCCACATGGCTCGAGAAGCGTAAGTGGGCGCGTGCGGAAATACAAGAAGTGACGCCGACTCCCCACTGGTGGTAGACAATCCAGAAATAAAAGATCTGCGCAAGCTTCTTCGTAAGCAGACGCCTCTACCTGAGAATAGTGTAACAATCTAACGAGGCCAGGCATCTGGTCGGATGCCCTCGATCACAAGCACAGCATCTGCAGCTTTTGCTTCCTCACGAGGACGCGACAAAAACATCACGGTCTCGCGGCTGGAGAAGCTTTGAACGGCTTGCTGCAGACCATGACTTCGGCTAGCTGTTCTACACACACTTTGTCAGCAACAGTTTTGCTCAAGATTGGCATGCAACTGCACCAGGAAGAGAATCTCAAAGCCACAAACTTCCTGGGTGGAGTCGGGTTTTGGGCAGGAGCTCTCCTCGAACGTGGTCTCCAGAGAGTTTGCCCCGTTGGACTTCGACATCCGCAGCTCTGAAGTCACCTGACACCGAAAGGCGAGGTTGATGGGCAAAATGTGACTGTCAGGCATACCGGCATGGCATGTAAGAATGCCAAGAAATACTTCTGCCACTCTTAGATTTGGAATGCATTTGATGAGCCTCTGGGAAGTTCACCACCTTCAGCGCCCGGCCAAACTCAAAGCCCAAAGCCTCGCTTGCTTCGGGGTTCTTGGAGTTCGCCAGCTTCCGACCCTGTATCCGTTTCTATGCGGTGTTTTGTCCTCTTTCCGTTCGTCTGTTGTTCAGTGGCTTGGCACCGCCGATTTTGCCAACGGCCACGCAGCACATCTTTGCACAGGACTTTGTTGTATGGTCAAGATACGCAAGCCAAATACAGCTCAAACACAAAGATCATAAAGGGAATGGATGTTCGAAGGATGTTCCGGCATGTTCAGGTGGAATTTGCCAGTTGATGTCGTGCTAAGAAACTTGGTGCAGCTCTCAGACTCACAGAGAGACCGGACGTCAAACTGCACCATGTACTGATCAACTTCAGACATCTTCAGACCACCTGTCAACAACATCTAGTCTCAACTTCTGGTCCTTGAACCTGTATAGTAGTCCCCCATATAATCCCCTATATAATACTCCCTTGAAGGAGCTCTGAGCATTGCTAGTGTGATGTAGCACGGAACCTCTGCCACTGCCGTCTTCCCGGTGCCAGCGCCACCCCAGAAGAGTGCTGTTGTGACCACGGGCCTCGGGTGCTTCTCACACAAAGGGCATATATTAGTATTATTACCATTCTTATTACCATTATTAATGCTATTGTTGTTATCACTGTTGTTTCTATTGCTACTATTTTGTACTGTGGTGACCACGGGGTCATACCTGACAGGTTGGGGATCAACCAAAGAGCTTGGTGACGCCATCCACTTTGCCAGGGCCTTCACTGCCTTAGATGCTGCTTCACTTTTACGCTTAAGCCACTTTAAAGGGGAAAGGCTGTGCAGGTATAGTCCAGAAATTGAACAGGAAAAGGAAGCATAGAGTGCTACATACAATTGTCCCCTGCAGCCTACCACTTATGCCAGCTGCGCATGTAATGATCTAGGGGTTGAGTTGCGATTCCCTCATCAAGTCAGATGAGTTCAAAGTTTCTCCACTACAAAAACAACTTGACTAGCGGACCGCAAGATACATACTTTCAACTACCACATGACTGAAGCAGCACAGCTTCGTTCGTATAAGATAGAAGGTTACAGGCCGCAGGTTTGGAAATTGCTGCAAGTCACACGTGTGGAAACCGGTTGGCAGTCATCTCATGGAAACAGACCGCACAGGAAGCCAATGCATCTAGACAAAACCTGAGGCTCGACTTGTGACTTGAGACATGCCACCAATATCACCAAAGCCCCAGTTCTCCAGCAGGAGCGGCCTCGCCTTTTCGAAAGCCACTATGTCCAGCAACTTCCTGCAGCCATTCAACCACAGCACGAGCTTGACAGCTGTGCTTAGGCACACAAAGTCAACTGATCTGCGGATCCAGGAGTCTGCTTCAGCGAAGGGGTCAGTACCAAGGAGTCCAGGCCTGGCGCCAAAATGAAGCCGGTTGCAGCCAGGCAGGTATCATGAGAAAGGTGAACTTTCGGGTGTCAATCAAACCTCCTTTTTGTCCCAATTGTCTCCTTGTCTGATCCACAACGTCAAGGCCAATTTCCAGATGGTTGCGGTTTATGCTAGACACGAAGCCTGACTGAAGGCAGCTTGGGGCTCAAGGGGGCTTGAACAACGGAAGCCATGGTAGCGGGACCTGAGGAGACGCCGATACCTCCTCCGAACCTCCAGAATTTTCCATCGTCACCATCACCGCGCGTCATCATCATCTGGCTGTGAATGCTGAACAGATTCAGAAGAGAGAGCCCGCTGCAGAAGCAGATGCTGATAAGGAAACAGTGCGGGGTACCCTCCAGGAGATGACCGTAGCAAAAGCTGTAGCTGTTGCTCTGGAGGACAAGGAGTCGGGGCGGCATCATTTGTGTATCATCGCGAGCAAGACAGCATGACTCAAGCCGATTCGCAAATTTCACAGATCCGATTTTGCCAGGATCATCGTAGACCTTAACCTGCTGGCGGTTGGTTGCCTTCGCACACAGCGTCACAAGCATATGAAGCACGGACCTTTAGATCAACCACGGTTTTGCTCAGAATGCTTTGGCAGTATTGAGAAAGAGTATACTAAACGCGTTTGAATGCAGGCGGGCAAGATTGAACTCTTCCCTGCCACTTGACCAACCTTTCCTTCCCCGCCATAGCAAGGTGAGAACGTGGTGTGCTGGTGCGATCCCCGTGAGCTTCCTCAATCCAGTCTTATCTAAAGCGGCAACGCCTGCTCGCGGGACCAGTCGCTTGGCAAAGCTCTGCATCTGAAGAGAGCCACGTACCTGCCAGGTTGATGTGGTGTGGCAAAAGCGCGCTCCATGAGTATGTCTAACAGTAAAACATGAGTTTGGGCAACCGGCTTTCGTAAAATCATCAGGCCTGGCCTGCATGATGCAACCGCCTGTGATGTCTTCCTCTGTCACCTGCGGCTCAATGTTGTTGCCTTGGCTGGCATAGGAGAAGGTGTTGTCTTTAAAAGCGCCCCATGCTATGACATGAACCGCTGCGCTACCCCCCCCCTGTGCGAGAGGCACCCGCAATGGTTTATCCAAACCAAGGCATGGTCTAGCAAGAAGAAAATCTGCGGCAAAATTCAGAGCAGCAGCGGGAGATAGCCAGCAAAAGAGCGCTCACAATGGCATTCTTGATGTACCCACCAGTCAACGCAAACTTCATGGCAATCTTCTCCCAGTCGATCCCGGGAGCCAGCGGCACTCCTGTACGCAAGCTGAGGTCTCTGGTATGCTAGTAGCCTCACTTTTCGTTTCCATTGTCCCTATACACCCCCAATTGGGCTGAACCCAAAGCCTAAACCGTAATCCCTATCCTGTCTCCCGCCTGTCTTCGTGTAAAGATTCCAGATCTCCAGTCTCTGGATGTGGTCTGGCTTGCTGAACGTGAAGACTGAGGTAATCCGGCGATACATGGCCTGCATAGCCAGCAAAGCCAAATAAACAACTGGCATGAGTTCAACCGTCTGTGCGCTGCATGGATTCTCACGTTCAATGCATAAATCTTGGCAGAGCGCTAAACCCTTCCTACTGGCACCAAGAAAGCATTCTCACCAGAATTGCTGTGAACACTGCTGGGATCTTGAGGACAGTCCTGAAACAAGCTCTTTGCTGACATGATCTTACCCGAAAGGACGACTGCTTCTGCTTTGGCACCTGTTGTGTGACACTGAGGATGCAGAAAAAAGTCTGTGTTGCATTGCGGGATCTGCTTTCTTTTTTTGTGGGAACCATGTGTTTTCATGTTTCCCTTGTTTTAGGGGAGCTTTCCGCTGTTTTTCACATGTTTCACGCTCTTGAGGCTTCTTGGACGATCAGCCGTGTTACTCCCAGGATCAATCATCTACTGCACCCAAGCCAAGAAACCGCAGAAAAGACAAACACGCACAAATTCGATTAACCTAGCCATGACAGAGCTCTTCGTACAGCAGAACCTCATCCAGGTCGAACGGCCGGTTCGTGGCCAGGAAAATCATGCCCTCATATCCTCAAGCGGGTGAAGCAGCACATGTGGCAGACTCTCTCCCCCATGCTGCTGTTCCTATTTAGTAGTCTACTCCAGCACAACAAAAGCAGCAGCATAGTTACATCCTCAGCATTTTCACGAGAACTTTGGTTTCTTTCAGCCATGAGTCTCTCCATAGCAGTCAGCAAAGCTGTCATTTCAGAATTGCCCCCTGCGGAACGCTGCGAGAAAAGCGACTCGCACCTGAGCAAGCCTACCAAACGGCAAAGAAGAAAGCAGCTGCTTCTTCAACTACTCGCCAGCCTCAAGGGGGCGTTACAGCATGGTGAGGTCGGCATGGGATGCACATGATTCAGCTTCAACAACCTCGAGAGCACTGAACCAAGAGCGGGGCTCATCAAAGAAGAGCACTGCATCGCTCATTTCCTTATTGCAGCTCATTCTTCGCATCTTCATTGGGATCTACAGTAGCAGGCGGGATTTAAGGACTTCCGGACAAAGCTTGGATGACCTACATGAGATAACTCTTACTTGTACATCTCTGTAAAAAGTCTTCGAGACTAGGCGCAGCTTCCCGAAAGAGCTTGAGAACATTGGAGCCATCCTCATCAGGGCCCAGGCCAGGCTCGCTGTGGTGACTGTACAGGGTCTTGAAGTTCACCTTGGCCAATCCAACAACCGCGTCCTTTCTTCAGCATGTTCTTCAGGAAAGTGCCAAGAAATCTCCAGCAGAAGAAAAAAGTTCCATAGGCAACCCTGGCACAAGCAGGACGCGCTTGTCCAGGTGGGCAGCCAGAGCGTTGACCATCAGAGTCTTGCCAGTGCCGCTTGGGCCGCAAAACATTAGGACCAGTCCAGACCTTGGCCCAAGAGCATCCGATCATCATGTCAGTGGGTGCTGAACATGCTCTGACAAGATGCCCATGAGCAATGACATCATCGAGGCCAGAGGACTTGCGGTACTTGCAGAACCTCCAGAGAGAACATACTTGAGAACTCAACTTTACTTAAATTTGAGNNATGCTACTTCAAAAACCCAGGCCCCGCAGCGCACCGCCCTCTTTAATAAACAACCCCACCCTCATAGTATAAAATGTTTCCCATTGTGGTACATCGTCGTATATTTGGAGTATTTAATATGGGGGGGAGGTTTGATATTAGGGGG